AACTAGCTGGTGATGAAACCATACCTGGTGCTGCCACACCTGCATGCAGGCTGTTAGCAGTAGCTGGATCTAAGGGCTGCAGACACAACTGCCCCCCACAGTCCTCTGCCTTCCTCAAGGGTGCTCAGAGCATCTCACCTGAGCAGAGGTAAACCCGTTCATCGCACCCTTGCAGCCTGTTCCACCAGGGGGCTATTTGTGGCTGGGAGCTCTCTTGGGGATCTGGAATCTCTAGCAGGGTGCGAGATTTCTAGGGTCTTTCTGGGAATTTTGTTTTGTTTTCAAAGTGGTTATACATTGAGCCATCCTCTCGTAGGCTTTTCTTCCATTACCTGTAGGTCCGCAAAGTCCCCAGAGAAGAACAGATCCCTGATGTCTGAATCATGATATACACACACTTTGGTTGCGCCTGTGGATTTCTGTGGCACTCTCTGCTTTGTGTGCATGTGTGTGTGTGCGCTCTGCAGTATTATCTGTTTTCACAACATACTATGTGTGCATGGATAGGCATTTATATAAATGGTAACAGAGATGGAAAAACTATTTCATTTTCTTATAGTGAAATTGAGTCACTCTACCAAACAAAAACAAATATTTCCCATAAGTTTTTTCAGCTTTCTTCGTATAATTGACTAATAAAAATTGTATATCTTTAAGATGTCCATCTTGATGTCAGAATACACGTACACATAGTGAGATGATCACCACAATCAAACTAATCCATCATTTCACATAGTTACCATTTTCTTTTTGTGGTTAGAACACTGAAGATCTACTGTCTTAGCAAATTTCAAGCATACCATACAGTATTGTTAACTATAGTCACCATGCTGCACGTTAGATACCCGGAACTTATTCATCCTGCGTAACAAACTTCGTAGCCTTTGACCAGTCTTCCCATTTTCCCCCTCCCCCCAACCCTGGGCAACCACCATTTGACTCTCTGCTTCTATGAGTTTGACTATTTAAGGTTCCACATCAGATCATGCCATATTTGTCTTTCCACATCGGGCTTATTTCACTTAGCATAATGCCCTCAAGGTCCATCCATGTTGTCACAAATGATAGGATTAACTTCCTTTTAAAGGCTGAGTAATATTCCATTGTATATATAGACCACATTTCTTTATCCATTCATCCATTTATGGACATTTAGATTGTTTCTATATCTTGGCTATTGTGACAAAAGATAACAGCTGTTGGAGAGGATATGGAGACAAGGGAACCCTTGTGCACTGTCAGTGGGAATGTAAATTGGTGCAACCACTATAGGAAACAGAATGGAAGTTCCTCAAAAAATTAAAAATAGAACTACCATATGATCCAGCAATTCCACTTCTGGGTATATAGCCAAAGGAAATGAAGTCAGAATCTCAAAGAGGTATCTGCACCCCTGTGTTCATTGCAACATTACTCACAATTGCCAAGATATGGAAACCGCTCTCTACTCTTTAACCACACACTTCTCACCCACCCTCTCTCATGTGGGTTTGCAGCCAGGTGTGCCCCCTACTTTCACCTGGTGGGCCCTTGTCTTTTGCCTTAAAGATGATATACCTATTAACTCCTCGGGAGTTCAGTGTCACAGTCCTTCTTAATTCTACAGTTTAGGTTAGTCATTGTGAGTTTCTCAATCCAGCCTACCTGTGATCCTCTTCTGGCACTAAACGGACAAGTCAACACCAATTGTCTTGCTGCGGAGATCAAATGGTATTGAGGGATTGTTCAGATTCGCAGACAAAGCTGGATTGTTATCTGCACTCCACCACTTACTAGATGAGTGACCTTCAGTACGCAACTTCTCTCAGCCTCAGATGTTGCATCTATAAAATGGAGAGTGACAGTAGCACCTTCATGAGGTAGACATGAGGATGTAATGGGATGAAACGCATAGCACGGTCCATCAGATTTTGCATCTATAAAATGGAGAGAGATAGTAGCATCATCATGGGGTAATGTACGGATTTAATAGGATGAGATGCATATCATAGTCCATGTTACATAGTAGGTTATCAGTTCAATTTAGCCATGAGAAATGATCCTTATACAACCCTGTGAGGTAGTTCACATTGTTATCTCTACTTTGACCTAGAGAATGCAGAGCAGTTAGTCAACTGGGGAGACACACGTGCATTTATATCTCTATCTCTATCATCTATATCTGTGTATTAGTGAAATTTTTATTTTGGAATCAGTTTAGATTGACAGGAGAATTACAAGGATAGTAAAGAGAATTCCTGTATTCCCGTCCCCCAGCTTCCCCAAATGTTAACTTTCTGCATAACCATGATGTATTTGTCAAGAACTTAACCTTGGTACATCACTATTAACTGAACTATAGATTTTCCACTAATGTCCTTTTTCTGTTTCAGGGTCCAATTCACGATGCCACATTGCATCTAGAAGATAAACTTTTACAGCCTGCCTTTTCATTATATTAGTATTTTGGTCTACTTTCCCATTTATTCATTCTATTTCATTTTAACCAGTAGGGCAATAAGTATATACACTAGCCGTTAATTAAAATAGCCCTTTTATGCTAGCTAGCGACCACTTATTTTGTTGTTGTTAAATTCAGAGTGAAAATACTGTGAGCCTGATCTAGTAGAAGGGTAAGCAGGTGAACATTCTGTGAGTTTGATCCACTAGAAGGATAAGCAGATGGAAATACTATGATCTTGATCTAGTAGAAGGATAAGCTGGTGAACAGTCTCTGAGCTTGATCCAGTAGAAGGATAAGCAGGGAGAAATGCTGTGAGCTTGATCTAGCAGAAGGGTAAGCAGGTGGACATTCTATGAACTTGATCTAGTAGGAGGATAAGCTGGTAAACATTCTATGAGCTTAATGCAGTACAAGGATAAGCAGATGAACATTCTGTGAGTTTGATCTAGAAGAAGGATAAACAGGTGAATGTTCCACGAGTTTGATCCAGTAGAAGCATAAGCAGGTGAACATTCTGTGAGCTTGATGCAGTAGAAGGATAAGCAGGTGAACATTCTATGAGCTTGATCCAGTAGAAGAATAAGCTGGTGAATATCCTACGAGCTTAATGCAGTACAAGGATAAGCAGGCGGTAATTCACGTGTTGAGATTTTTTCCTACAGCTTGCTCTGCTACTGACAGCTTGAATAAACTGTGGGAAATTATATAAACTTCCCATTTCTTGGATGTGATATTTGTGAAGCAAGAATAGTATTTGTGAGATAATTACCTTAAGATCGTGTTGAGAAGATGAAGAAAGTGGAAGAATTTTAACTTTCCTGGGAGGCCACCATAGAAACTACAAACTATCATATGAATTTTTATGTGAATTTTCCCTCAAGTGTCTGTTCATATGAAATATAGGAGTGCCTGCAGTTTAAAGATTATGCCTATAAGAAGAATTCAGTCTACAATCGCCAGAATTCAGTCTACGACAGTCAGAAACTAGCATTAAGAAATGGTTTCCTTCAAGATCCCTTAAACCTCTGTCTTCAGTAATTCATTTTTTAAATTTAAATGCCATTTACGTCCACTGTGAACCACGCCTTATGTCCCTGCTATGAATCAGTACTCTCTTTCCACTTTCTTCATTTATTTTAACTCTTTATTTTTAATTCTTCATACCAATTGGTGGTTGAAAATGTGTTTGCAAGTAGCCAAACTTCAGCTCTCTCCTTCCTCCCAGCCCACTCCCTGAGGTGATTACTCCCGTGGTCTTCAGCTCTATGCTCAGCTTTTTGTAAACTCAAGGGGAACTACTTTGGGGGAAACAGTGTGTCTGTTTTTCCATCCATCCATATGCTAACTGCATGGTTTCAGGGACTCCAGACTGGCCTCTCTGAGCCCTAGGCCGGCATGCTGCTGTCTCGGTCCCCCAAGGCCCATTAGTTAGAGGCCTTGGTGAGCATCTTCTGTGATGTGCCTCTTGACATTGTGACCCACTCCCAGCTCACCCTCCAACCCCTCCTAGTACCCCTTTCTTGCTCTATTTAGTTATATTCAAGTCACCTCCTAGGTACAAAGCTCTTTTTCTCAACTAAACAGTAGGAGCTCTCCCAGTAATAAACCAGTAGCAATGATGACAATGGCCGTTTCTGGTGCTCTTCCTCTCTTCCAGGCACTAGACTTGGTGCTCGGGGTCATAATCCCAGGTAATACTCATGCCTTTCATGTTGGGAATGTGGGGCACAGAATGCTTGATCCATTTGCCCAAGGGCGTGGAACTGGTGTTTTCGTTTCCTGTGGCTGCTATAACAAATTACCACAAATTTGGTGACTCTCAAAACAACAAAAATTGATTGTCTTATAGTTCTGGAGTTCAGATGTCCAAAATGGGTCCACTTGAGCTAAAATCAAGGTGTCAGCAGAGCTGCGGTCCTTTCTGGAGACTCTAGGGGAGAATCTGTTTCTTGGCCTTTTCCAGTGTCTAGAGGCCACCTGTTTTCCTGGACTTGGGGCACCTTTCTTCATCTTCAGAGCCATCCGTGTAGCATCTTCTCATCTTTCTCTCTGACTACAATCCCTGCTTCTCTGATTCCCACTCTCCTGCCTCTCTCTGTCCTTTATAAGGATCCATGTGATTACATTGGACCCACTCAGATAATCTAAGATCATCTCCTCTTTTGCCACATAAGGTTTTGGGGGTTTAGACCTCGACATTTTGTGGCACCATCATTTTGCCTACCATAGCTGGTAGAAAGTACCTATGGAATTTGAACTCTCTGACTCCAAAGTCATTGATTTGAGTCCTTTATTGCTCTGAGATTTTAGTCTCCCTGATTATAGTCATCAATTATGACCACCAGGCAATGCTGGCCATGATAGTAGTGACCATCTCATATATATTTTTTCACCACAACATATACTGTCTTGCTCATGAAATTCTCATTGAATCCATGTCATTAGAGCACTTGGTTCTTCCATACTGGCCAGCTCACATGGAGCATTAAAGTGAGCCCTAATCTGAGCATTGAAAAAGACTTACAAATCTCTCTGTGGGTTTCCTTTGGCATTTTAGGGGGGAAAGCAAACAACTGGGAAGGAGGTATCCGGGTTCCAGGCATTCTTCGTTGGCCGGGAGTGATACCGGCTGGGCTGGAGATTGACGAGCCAACGAGCAACATGGACATATTTCCTACTGTGGCCAAACTTGCGGGATCACCTCTGCCTGAAGACAGGTACTGTGACTCAGAGGTACTTGGTATTGTCTCGTTCAGATTTTGCAGGCAAGTATGTTCTGGTTTGCCTGTATGATGGCATGCTACCTCCAGCTGGACTTATAATCTGTGTGCAGTTATGGGCCTTAAGTGGTGGATCTGCCTAAGTAACCCCCTCACCTGCCGTCAATCCTGTTATCCCAGTGGGAGGTAAACCCTGAGGCATGATGTGGATGGATGGTCTTTAATTGAGGCTTTCTCTTTCGGTATCTGCTGATCCTCCTTCCTGTCTGTGCCCATCATCGGTGTGCCAAAGGGCAGCTGAGCAAATGCTCCTCTCACCCCCCCCACGTTTTAATCCCATAGCTTTCCCTTTGGCCCCACTCGGCAGCTCTTTGCTGCAGCAGCGAGAAAGGCAGCTGGTTTCCCAGTTAAGGGCCCTATTTCCCAGCGTGTTTTCCAAATGAAAGTCCTAAATGAAATGTCTTTCTCTTAAATTTAAATACAACTTCATATGACATTGCCAATGGTTTCTTCTTAAGTGTTATTACCAATCTGAAGAGTTTTAAGTGAAGCACGCTGATTAATTGTTTTCATTAGTTTGGTGGCAGGCCAGGCTAATGTCACGCAGGCGGGCTGCAAATCTTGTTTAAATTCAGCTGCCAGCGGAACGAAGAGGAAACAGGAAGCCAGAGAGGAAACTGCAGCTCAGCCAGAGCTGAGTTCATGGATAGATGCTCACCTCCATTGTGTCAAGCTCGTTTCATTGTTTATGATTTTCCTTACTCTTTTCAAATTTCTTCTTTAGGTATACCTTTCCCCCCAAACACACACACACACACACACACACACACAAACACACAAACGCAAAAGGCGGCAGTGTAGAGTTCAGCTGTTCTCAAATTTTGTGGTCTCAAGATCCAGGTACACTCCTCAATGATTGAGGAATCCAAAGACATTTTGTTTATGTGAGTTATATCTATTAATGGTTATCGTGTTAGCAATTACACCTGAAAAAAAATTTAAAGCACAAGAGCACCCAAGTACAACTCCATTGGCTGACAGAGTGATGATGTCATCACCTGCCATGTAGCCACTGGGAGAGTCCACTGTACGCTCCTGAAAGAGTCATAGTCCAAAAGGCAAAGAACATTGTGTATTACTGTGAAAATAGTTTTGACCTCGTAGACCTCCTGAGAGGGTGTCAGGGATCCCCACGGGTCTCTGGACCACACTTTGAGAGTAGCTGGTCCTGTGGATAAGAGCAGAGATCCAGAGCTGTACTGCTTGGGCTCAGATCTTGGCTTCACTGCTAGCTAAGTGCGTAACTTACTGGGCCTTGGTTCCTTGTCTGAAAATTGGATTCAGTAACAGCACTAACCTTACAGGGTCAACATGAGGATGAAAAGCGTTAGTGCATGTGAAGTGCAGCTTAGAGAATGCATGAATATTTACCATTTTTGTTTGACCGGCCATATTGAGAGGTAAGATCTACAAAGTACAGTTCTTTCCTCTCCACATTTAATATTCATCCAGGATCCTAGAATCGTAAAATTTGAGGACTGAAGGGGACTTTTAAGATCTACTCTAGTCAAATTACTCTTTTTCTGCCTTGGTGACAGACAGAAAACTTGTCAGCAGTAACTCATAAAAGGTCTTTTCTTATGTAAAGCCAAAGCTCTCACTCCTTACTATCTACTCATTGGCCCTGGTTCTTACCCTTGGAATAAAGCTTAACATTTCCTTAAGTAGCTTACACAAAATGTTCAGGTAATTTCATTAATTACATTCTTCTCTCGTGGCTTATAACATTAAAATCATCACCACTCTTTGCTTTCACAATATCTTTAAATGAGTTTCCATCCAACTGGAGAAAGACAAGGGAAGGAAGAAGTTCAGAGGCAACGGGGAAAATCCATAAGGGAAACCTTGCTGCCGGCACTTCCTACCCACCCCAGTCTGAGGCTGATGGAGGTCACTCTGTTTTTCTTGTACATGCCCACTGAAGAAGGAAGCAGCCACCCTCTTAGGCAGACCCAGATATTTTGTGTGTGAGCCAGAGGCTTCAGTAGAACCCATTCTCAATATTGAGGATTCTTTGTTATGCTTGTTGACCTAAGTCAACCCAATCATATTGTCTCTGGGTTGAGGTCCAAGGCCCTGTAAAATGCCATCAGCATCCTAAAGACAGCACAGATAATAAAACAGAAATCTGCTTCCAATCCCCTCATGGGAATAAAGGTATTGCACAATATCTTACTTAAATGGCATTACCAACCAAGTCCAGAAAGCATCTTTATGTATCTGCCCTGGAGACTTTGAACATCTAAAGCAATGATTCTCACCCAGGGTGACTATTCCTCCCAGGGGCCATTTATCCATATCTGGAGACATTTTTGATTGTCTTGACTCAGGATGCTACTGGCATCTAGTGGGTGGAGTCCAGGGATGCTGCTAAACATTCTACAAGGCACAAGACGGCCCCCACAGCAAAGAAATGATCCAGCCTAATACATCAGTAGTGCTGAGATTGAGAATTGCAGCTCGAAAGCTTATTATTGCTCTTTTACAGAAAATGTTGTTTTAATGTAGAACCTCATCAACATTTTTCAATAAAAGCATCTGGATAATATCCTCATATCTATATTCATCTACAAATTTGATGCACAGATATCTGCTCTTTAGAAAATATCCTCCCAGCCAGAGATGGGAAATCCTGGAAGCTGAAGGAGAAGAACTGGTCAGGGTCAAAAGCAGATGAGGCTCAAAGGTTAAACACAAAGTTACCACTGACTCAGCAAGTCTGCTCTCAGGTATATACCCAAGAGAAATGAAAACATGTCCACACAGAATCTTGTTCAGGAATGTTCATACAGCATTATTCATAATAGCCAAAAAGTGGAAACAACCCAAATGTCCATCAGCTAATGAATGGATAAACGAAATATGGTCTATCCATCCAATGGGGTGTTACTCAGCCATTGAAAGAGATGAAGTAAGGATCCATGCTACAACATGGATGAACCGTGAAAACATTATACTGTGAAAGACGTCAGTCACAAAAGAACACATACTGTATGATTCCATTTATATGAAGTGTCCAGAACAGGTAAATCCATAGAGACAGTAGATTAGTGGTTTCCAGGGGCTGAGGGCAGGGGAGAATGGGGAGTGACTGCTAATGGGTATGGGGTTTCCTTTGGAGCAATGAAAATGTTCTAAAATTTGTTGTGGTGATGGTTGCACAACTCTGTGAATATACTAGAAACCAGTGAATAAAAAAAAAAAAAGAAAAGAAAATATCCTCAATTCTTTCCCACTAAATTGATGGAAATCAGCTTTCTCGATTTTTTGCTTGAGCGATATTGCATTGATCTTTTTCAAGAGAATAAACTCAGAGGGTTGGACCCAAGCTGTTTGAGGAGCACTTAACGAGGTGTCCTCGCTTCTTTCTACATGCTTTGTCAGAATGAGAGGATTTCCGGTCAGAAGACCCCTGGCCTTCAAGTGTAACCTTGTAATGCTCAAGAAGCATTTTGTGCCTGGTGGGTGCCTTTCCTGACCAATCAAAGCTTGGTGGAAGATGAGAAGCCCTTTGTTGCAGTTTCTACTTAGGTAAAAAGAGCGGTAGGCCAGGGTACACATAAGAGATTTTCACTTTGCAGAGACTCAGCACTGCTGTGAGAATAGTTCTCTAATTCGACCCCGTGGTGTGCCTATGAGATTCCTCTCCGCAGTGCATTTTTCCTTCATACATACTAAAGCAGTTCATTTGCATTCTGTGACATGGTTTATTAAAAGAACTTTTGGTGGCCATCACCCCAGGCATATTCAGAAAAATTATTCCCCCTGTGTCACCAAATAAGCTGATTCTGGAAATAAATGGAGGGCAACCTTTTTTTGTGACAGAAAATCTAGGCAACAGGGCCTTACATAGAAGAAAAATATAATACCTAAATGTATTAACTCATTAAAGTGAAAATCCTTCCTGTCAGTCTCATCTTTGCAAGCAGATAGAATATTTCCATGCTAAGTCTATGACCATGCTCCTTCTTAATGTTGGTAATAAAGGATTGCAAAATGCCATAGTTGGTTAGACCTTTGGAAAACATCTCAATTCTGGCCATAGACTATGCAGCTGGGAGGGAAGGAAAGGGAGGCTGACATTCATGAGAATCAACTTTTAGAGGTGAAATATTTAAGACTCCTATTCCATAATTAAAATTAAATTTGATTCCTTTTTTTTTTTCCAAGTTAGGAAAAGAAATCAATACTTTAATGCTTGATATCACTTTTGTCTAATGAAGATGAGGGAAGTGACTTAGTTCTCCCAGTAAATTTTGCTGACGTATAGCTAGGCAACCACTTCACTCTGTCACTACAATAAAATAGTCGGTGAGCTGTATGTAGTTCACCTTCGTTTTGCAGAATAAAAGGTAAAACTCTCATGTACCTCCAACCACTTATAACTGTTCTTGCTTTATATTCAAATATGGCAGACTGTTTAATGTTTACGAAAGGAAACATTCTTTTTAACTATAAAAATAACTTTCTGGATACTTGAGATTCCCTTTAGTTTGTTAAAGATATACCTACTTTCTTCTAAAAATGTTTCCTCTCCTATTACTTCCTACGTTGAAAAAAAATCACTTTATTTTGAATAGTGCACAGGTAAGTCACAAACATTGTGCCCCAAATTAACCTCTGTGTCAGTCGCCAAAACCTTCCTTTCTGTGTCCCCTCCCCCCAGAAAACTTTCCCTTCTCCTGTGATCCCCAAATCTGCCCCAGAGTTGGCCAGGCAAAGCAAGTGCAAAGGACGTGACAGCTAGATGGTTCAATTGCTCAGAGCTGAGAGAGAGACAGCACATTCATGGAAGAATGAGGTCGCTGTAGCCCAGGGAAGGTCCCCAAAACATGCTCTTTTCAATTATGTGAAAGCTGTCCCCATGCTATTGAATTTACCCTGAAATTCAAAAACGAAGCTCCTTGGAAATGAATTGTTAATATTGCTACCCTTGTCATGAATCAAGAACCCAAAGAGAATATTCTCACTTTCCAAATTAAAAACAATCTCAAAGGAACACATTTTTCAGAATCAAGCAGACACTACCAGAGAACTCATCCAATTTTGTAGCAGTGGCTGCAAACTTGCTACGCAAACTTGAATTCGTTTGCAGAAAAGGCCAGTTAGATGACTCCCGTAGAAAAGAGCGATGCTTTGTGTCGGTTGAAAGTGCATGGGCCCCTCTTCCACAAATCACGATGTAATGGAAACATTTCTTTCCTAGCAATGTCAAGACAATTGTGCCATCTCCGGCTTATTGCTATCGTTAGCTGTGATTTGCACATGTTGTTTAAAACAATCCCAAATATTTTGATAGCTTAGACACCCTTTAAAAGTTTAGCTCAATAGGGTCACTTTCAGTTTTTCATGGCAGAAATGAGCCTCTTTTTGACAGCCCATATTTCTGCAGCACTGTGAAACGCTCGCTTTCCCTAGCAGAGTGATTTATTGCTGGCTTCTAGGAAAGAGCATGTTAGGTGTAGGATATAAAAAAAAAACCTGAGATCTATCTCTGCATTTGAGGAAAAAGAAGTTTGCAGAATAGACTTTGCTTCCCTCCTCTAAAAAACAAACTTACTGTTTTGCCTTTAAGTAAGAAAAAAATTGTGAGATGTGGAGTCATTTTTTTAATTAAATCCCCCTTCATATTATCATGACCTGGTTAAGTTATGAAATACTGATCTGAAGAAAGCATTTTCAGCTCCTGTGTTCTTAAATCAAGTGTTGAATCTTGTTGGCTTATGATGAAAAATGGCTTCGAGAAATAAAGGTAGAGATTGTGTCCAAAAAATGGAGATTCATTCTGGCCCTGGAGCGGCCAGGGAAAGGCCTCTGCATGTGGAGGTGGTGGAGAGGGATGGGAACTCTGTCCCATCTCCCACCGGCAGGTCATTTGTTACCACTGGCAGCTCTTCGCGCTCAGATACTCAGACCTGCACGCTTGCCCTCTCGTCCCTTCCTTTTTTACCCACCCTATTCAGGATCTCATTTTCTTAAGGACTGAGAATTTCTTGAAAGGAATTTCAAAGGAACGAGGCATGAGAACTGTCATTTCAGGATCGAAATAGTGTTTCAGAGAACATGCTGCTTCTGACTAGAACCATCTCTCTACCTTGTTTCTTTCTCTTCCTCCCATGTTGAACGGGAATGCAGGCTTGGGAAGTGAGCCAAGTCCATCTTTTGTTCTTATTTTTAACTTATGATAATAGAATATTTTCAGTCCATAGACTTCTGCGGATCGCATGATTAATAACAAGGGTTGAGGCCAGAGAAGTGCTAAGCAACGAGGCTATAATTACATTACAGGGTTTTTAGTGACACCAAAATAAACCACAAAAAAATCTAAGGGATGCAGACCTCTCGGGAACGCTTACCCAAATTATATAACCAAGTTCATCTTCACGTTTCTATATTCCTTATAACAGAGGATGACAGGGATGGAGAGCTTTTAATCAGAGAAAGAAAATCCTCCAGTTAAATAACCTACCTCTTTCAAAGCAGCTCTCTGCCTCTTGTTTCGATGGCAGTGGCCTAATGTATCAGTGACTTTCATTCCTCTAGTCACTGTTAATATATGTTTAACTCAAAACAAAATTTGGGGCTTTTTCCTTTATTTACAATGCAAATAATTTTATTTTGTTTACCACCAATTGTATATAGCTATTGTTTGCCATCTGGAAAGTTGCCCTTCTTGGCCTAGCTAAATCCCAAGTATTAAGAGAGATATCTACATTTGGGAACAATCCATTCCCAGGTGTTTAATATCACCATCATTATTATTTATAAATTAATTCATTCTGGTTTAGAAATTCACTTTCATTGGAGTCTATCCACTTCAAGTTGCCCTATACTATATATTATTTTTTTAACCCAAATTGTCAGATGTTCTTATTTTCAATAGAGCTATGGTTCATAATTAAAGCTTGCCCTTTGGCAAGACAATAGGCAGAAAATTGGGTTTAGGAGAAGCAGTGGGGAGAGCGGTTGAGAGCATAGATGCCCAAGCAGCTGGGTTTCAGTCCTGTCGGCTCTTACTAGTCACATGACCTTGGATAAGTCACTTAGGCTTTCTGGCCTCCATTTCCTCATCTCATTGTCGTGGGATGAGAATGGTCCCAACTCATGGTGCTGCTTGGAAGATTAAACGAGTCCATGAGTGAGCAGAGCTGGCCTCGCTGCGCTGCATATGGCACCCAACAGGGGACAGTTAGTGTTCTTTGTGTTGCTTACTTAACTATGACTGTGTGGCTCTATCATGCTCTCCTTTGCTGGAAGGACAGCTCAGAATTCGGGGCATTTTAGCCCAAGGACACAGTGGCCATTCACCAGCTGATGCCCACCTGATTTATCCCACAGGATCATTGATGGACGTGACCTGATGCCCCTGCTTCAGGGGAAAAGCCAACGCTCGGATCATGAGTTTCTCTTCCATTACTGCAACTTCTACCTAAATGCTGTGCGCTGGCACCCACGGAACAGTGAGTAAACGGACCTTTCCACACTTCTAGTACTTTGTGCAATCAGTGCCATGTGAGTAGATGAAATTGCAAGAGGGCTTTGCTCTACAGAAGCCAAGAGATGCCTACGTGCCACTGTGCTTTGCTTTGAAGGCTTCCTCCTCTTCCTGTTTTCTCTTATTCCTTCTGGTGCCATGATTGTCCAGGTGGGACATCATTGGACCTTGGCATTCACCAGCCTTACTCCAGTGATGGCTCCTCCTTCCCAGCAGAGAAGCTCAGGTTCTCAGCAGGGCCCTGCGGCCCCTTCCTTCATGCCGCAGCAGCCACCCAGCTTCATCTCCTGGCTCATCTCTCTGAGTTTCACTCTGAGTTTCAGCCAAACAGCCTCTCTGCTCTGTGCATGGCTAGCTTGTGCTTGCAGCTTCCTCTGCCTGGAAGGGCGTTTCTTCTTTTCTTTCCTGAATAACGATTGTCAGTGCCCCCAAAACCCCACTGAAACGCTGCCCCCACCCTCCCCCCGCTGCCTGCTCTCAAAGCACTTCCAGCATTCCCATGGCTTTGCGCTGTGGTGCTGAACCGCCTTTAGATGTTTACCCTCCTTTCTCTCCCCAGCCTCAAAGATGGCGGGGCGTGACTCATCCATCTGGATTTTGTCACAGATCACGTATATGTGCTAGATTTAGATCTTTAAAACAAAGTTCAAGTGCTTTGATGTTATCATATTTCCCATACCATCTCTTTAAATTGTGTGCTCTATCAGTAACAGGATCTAATTTGGGTTTTCAATACCAGTTTTAGAATTGTATTTCTAACAAGCATAAGGGAACAAACGGGACCAAGTGATAATACAAAGTGTAGTGATAGGTTTCAGATATTTTTTTGCATATATTTGAACTTAGAATTACCGTAATGTTCATATTATTAAGATGCCCAGGAGTCTATGGAAATCCAGCCACTGTTTTTATAAGTATTATATATGCCAGAGGCGGATGTTTAGGTCCACCTTTCAGTTCACTCTTCAGAGGTGAAGTGAGACTGCCCTTTTCTCTGTTGTGCTTTGGGGTTCTGCTCCTGGAGGCTACGCTCTCCCAGGACATCTAGTAACCTCCCAGCTGATAGCTCATTCTTAAACGCAGAGTTGAGTCTTGTACTAGTTTTCAATGCATCCCTCTCCTCACTCTACTCACCCTGCCAATCTACCAAAGACTCATCATTTAAAGAGCAGCCTCTCCATTATTTTTAAAGAGGAAAATTACAAACCTTCCATTAGCCACAGAAATCACACCAGGTTTACCCTTCAAAGTTTCTACTTTAAATCTGGGCAGCTTCCTTGCAATATTTTCTGGAAAATGAATATGACACAAACATGGGCCTAGGATTCTAGACCTGGAAGGAATCTGTTTACCTTTCTCATCAATGTGTCTCTAATGCCAAATCCCCATAGGAAAACTCTTTCTTTTTTAGATTAATTGACAGAGTTAAGGTCTGAGCCATCTAGCGTGAGAGCTCTGCTCCTCCCCACTTCTTTTCGTACGGAGCCTACGGAAACTGTAAAGAACAAAGTTCTGTGACTCGGGTGTTTAAAGAAGTATGATATCATGTCCTGAACCTTGCAAAATTGCATTTAAATAAAGCCAAACCCCCAGTTAGAGAAGCCGGAAGGAGCATATTGGATCAGGGGCTGGAGAAACATGTTATGTGGGGGAGTAAAGAGAAAAGGGACAGGAAGAGACAGAAAATAGACTAAGTGAGAAAAACAAGACCCAGTTTCTGATAGGCAGCTGTCCCTGAGATAAAACTTGTTCTTAGGCAGACACAAGTGACATTTCCTCTTATACAATCCCTTAAAACCTTTTGCCTTGAACCGGCAACAAAAGAGGAGGAACCACAGGATTTCAGTGCTGGAATCACTCATCTAGCTAAAGGGTCTCAGTAAACCATGGATTTTATGAATCAACTCATTTAGTTTTCAGGTTATATCTGAAACTCAGTGACCTGGTTGCTGATGGTTGGCTATCGATGCTTGCTGTCTTGGCTATCACACATGACTTCCGGGTTGCTTATTCAGTATCTCATCTATTCCTTTATTCTGCAAATATTTATTGAGCACCTACTATTTGGCACCTGCTGTGCTAGGATGGGCATCCAGTGAGCAAAGCAGACCAAATTCCCTGCCCTGGGGGACTGACAAAGAGGTTAATTTGGGGCACAATGTTTGTGCTTCCATCTTAGACCATTATGTGCTGCGAGCTGTGTGATGGGCTGGGAATGCAGAGATGCGTAAGGAAAGCGTGACTCTCGTCCGTATGGAGTTACCTGTCAACTGAGGAAAACGGAAAGGAAACTAGGACTTGTTGGATGAATCTGCTTAGATCATCTCAGGTCCACCTTGGTAGGAGATTGTCAGTAATCACCTCACTACATCGTGGGACACTTTCCATAACTCTTAGGGATGAGAGCGTTGCCACCTGACCTCAAAATACTTTATTATAAAAGAAAAGAGGAATTTAGTAACAGGCACAGTGTGCTGGAGCAGGTTGATGATTGGTCAGGAATCTCGCCAGCTTGTGGTTAAGCGCTTGCTAACCTGAACTCAGCCATGCTAGGAGTGTTTCTACCACAGCAGTTGGCACATACTGCAATCTGGGCTTCATCCCTCCCTCAGAGAGAGCTGGCCTACCGGCACTTCACTGGTACCAGTAAACTGGAATTGATGGGAAATGTTTTGGGGTTTTTTTTGAAGATTGGCCCTAAGCTAACATCTGTTGCCAATCCTTTTTTTCTTCTTCTTCTTCTTCTCCCCAAAGCACCCCAGTACATACTTGTATATTCCAGTTGCAGGTCCTTCTAGTTCCTCTATGTGGGGCGCTGCCTCAGCATGGCTTGATGAGCGGTGCTAGGTCCACACCCAGGATCCAAACCTGTGAAACCCTGGGCCACCGAAACGGAATGCACAAACTTAACTACTTGGCCACGGGGCTGGCCCCGATGGGAAATATTTTTAAGGTCCAATTACCATTTGTCCTGATTAGTTGGAGGCCCAAGTATTACAATTCCAGACTTATTTTCCAAAAACTTAGAGCTAGAATTCTGTTTCCACCCTTTTAAAACATGAATCCCTTTTAACTTTTATACAGTGTCTGCTCTATAATTTAATCATTCTATAATTCTATAGCTATAATATAATAATTCTATAATTTATTTGTCTCAGCAAGTTGAATGGCATAATTTAATTATGATCTGATATCATTATTCCCATTACATTTTAAAAGAACTCACAAAAGCATTATTGTAGCATGGATAACTTCTTGCATTAAAATGGGAATTTTGAGTTAAAATTTAGTGTTCAATGTATTAAAAAGTTTGGCTTTAAGTTTTGACATATGAATCAATGTTATTAAAAATTCAGTGCAATAACAACTTGATTTTATGGATAAACTTTGTCTTAGAAGGCGTAGGTACTTGGCTCTAGGATTCTCTTTCAGATTTTTGAGCTGATGAATATAATCTATAAAATAAATGCTCACGGGGCTGGCCCCGTGGCCGAGTGGTTAAGTTCGCGCGCTCCGCTGCAGGCGGCCCAGTGTTTCGTTGGTTCGAATCCTGGGCGCAGACATGGCACTGCTCATCAGACCACGCTGAGGCAGCGTCCCACATACCACAACTAGAAGGACCCACAACAAAGAATATACAACTATGTACCGGGGGGCATTGGGGAGAAAAAGGAAAAAAATAAAATCTTTAGCAAAAAAAACCCAACAAAACCTTCTGGCCCTAATAGAATGCTGTTACTTATAAAAAATTAAAAATAAAAAAAAAATAAATGCTCACATTAGTGTGAGAGCCCGCAAACCAAAGCTGGTCATACAGAAATCCACGGGGTAGCTGTGGGCATGTTCTGGAAACAATGGAATATAGTACATAATTAATAGTTTAAAGTATTTTCTGCCAACACATATGAAATCTTGACATCATCTAGAAAAAATGTCTCTTTTATTTGAAATTTCATGCTTCTGTGAGGAAATGGGATCTTCAGGAAGTTTTGAAAATGGGGTGAGGAACAGGTCACTGACATTATTCTTCCCCCTAGAGAAAAATGTGACCATCCTCGTGCTGAACCCACAGGCCTCATAAGTCCTGCTACGTTTTCAAGTCAAGTTTGTTGGAAACTTTTTTTCCTGTGATTTAAAAATGAGAATCGTTTAAAAAGTCACAAGAAGAAACAGTAAGATAATAGAATTCATTCTAAAGAAATGTGTTCATAATCCAACTTTTTAAAAGGTAATTTCTTTCCAAAATAGAGATAAGTAAGATTTAAAATCAAAACAGCATTCCCATGGCAAGTAAAGAAAAATGCTTCCTTTGTTCGCTATTTAAAACTTTCATACAATAAAAAATTTAATTTTGCCTCTAAAATACACCTAAGACAAGAGAGAAGGTTCTAATTACAGCTACGTACGTCTTATGAGTTAACCAGTGTAAGAACAGCTGTGCTTGGCTTTCATCTTCATTAATAATTTCAGTGGGAATTTGTTGGATGCCCTTTCTTGTCTGATTATTGGAAGTAGGATCTGAAAGTTTGGAAATAAAATATCAAGGGCTGAAGCTGAACTAACGTGAGCTGCAGCATTTTCAAATGAAAGCTGCTAAGAACTTTCCCATAGTTCAGCTTACCTTCAGAAAGACATCCTCTCACCCCACCATAACTTTTGTCGCAATTAAAAACAAGCGTATATTTCAAGGGTACATTTTAAGTCATAGGATTTTTTTTTCCTTTTTGAATACCTCAACCAAGTGCTGCATCCCACGAGCTTTTGGCCTTTCAGGCGTTCACCCAGGAATTCTTCTCAGCCCAGGAGTGCGGGACAACATGTGTACCTGTAATTGTAGCAACACATGGTAATAGTGTCCCAGCGTGCAGGGAATCTGCTTTGGCAGCCTAGGAGAAGGAGTGACATAGGGGGATGGAGAAAGCTTTCCTGAAATCACTAAGTTTTTATTTAATTTATTTAATCACA